AATGAAGGAATTGTGCTACACTAACAGCAAATGCTGTGCAAGCTAAGCATATTTCAAAGGCAAGAGCAGCACTAAAGAGGAAGAAGAAAGCAAACAATGGTAATGTAAGGTTATCTCTCTCTTTTAGGACCACTGTTTTAAAGGATAAAATCCAATGTGGTATCTCTATGTGGGGGTCACTCGCTACTTCCACGGGGTGTAGCGCCTACTAGTAACAGCGTGAATGCCTAATGCATATTTTATACACCCGCTGAACATCAAACGGGACTGAGTTACACTTGCAGATGTAATTTTTATGGTCAATTTGCAGCTGACAAGTAATCTACATGAATATGTGTTAGTGCTGAAGTTAACAATTTGTGCCTCTTTCTACTTTAGTAGATGAGTCCAATCCAACTCAAAGATATGTATATATCAACTGAGCAATGCTACTTACAAGTGTTTCAGAGCTATTTAAGAAGGCATTACACGAGGACAAACACAATGGTCTCCACTGTCACTTAGGGAAGGAAAGAGTTGTTATTTTGTTGAAACTTTTTCAGGAAGAGTTGACAATTCAGAATATAGTTTTTTTACTTTTTAAGTAATGGGCAATAGTCTGGAAAAGCAATAAAATAATTTCCTTTCATAACATTTATGCCTTTAGGTAAATGGGTACTGCTGGCAGCAAGGGATTGAAATGATAAAAATCAGAAGGAAAAAAAAAAGATGTAAGTTTTCATTCATCCTGGCATCTTAGTATATCAAATTTAAGGCAAGGGAGATGAAACCGTGAGGAATTATAATGACCTGAGCAGAAGATAAGCAGTCTGGGTAGCAGAGATGTGTTTGCTGCTGCATTGCACAGCTATGTACGCAAAAGTGAACTGGAATTCACATGTATAAGAACTCATACCAGGAGAGGAACTGCAGTCTCCTGGCAGTGAAGGTGAATTATGACCAGCCCTAAGCACAGCTTCAGTACCTTCTGCCTCCATCTAACTCCTGTCACAACTATTTTGCTTGCATTTGGCCCAACCTGTTTTTACAAAGGGGCAGAAGTGTAGTGCAACTGTCCTCCCTCCCCCCCACCTTATTTTACCCTCTGGATTGCGGAGTGCTGCTGGGAGCAATAGTAGCCACTCTTTTCGCTGAGAATGCAGACTTATGGCCCATAATCAGATGGATTCTTTACGTTCTGTCCTACCTTTCATGCTTGCCCTGGAGAAGTCATGATTTGGCCCAAATTTTATCTAATACAGTTCATAAGCCTAAACAGAATAACGTTGTTCTCATGAGTCTAATTAATACAAATTGCCCTAAAAGTCACAGTCATTTTGCACTGTTTCCACTGTATTTGCAAAAGGGAAAGCATTAAATCACAATGCTTTATTTCATTTGGAAATAGATGCATAAATGCAAAGGAATTCCTCAGTGGTTGTACTGAGGAAAGGTTCATTTTGCAGCTGTAACCTCAATTATGCTTGACATCCATAACTAAGTACTTCAGTTTCAAGGGGTTTTTCACTGGCAACATTACATTTCCATATAAAATGTGTGACAGTCTGCCCTTTTACAGTTTTATGTGAACGCTAACTTTATGAATTTGCTTTCTCCCTCCCCCCCTTTTATAACAATTTCTGCCAAGACTAAAAAAACCACACTGGCATTTATCTTGAAAAACTATTTGAAAACAACTTAATGTTTATTCCTTTCCTCACTGTTTATCAGACAGTGAATGCAATATGAATCAGAGTATTTAAACCTTCTTAATTAAAAATGTGAAAGCTTTCTGGACTTTACGTATCAATTGCGATCTAAAGAAGTTACAGTTCTCACAGAGGAAAGGAGGTCTGGCCCTGCTCCCATTAACACGAAGACCAACATAATATGTGAGGCCACACGAGCACAGAAAAAGAAACTAATGCAACTATGACAGGTTCAAAGTCTGAAGTGGGAGAAAAATCTTGCCTTGACTGTCTTCATTTTTGCAAGATATACAAAGTGTTAAGGTTAAAAGATAGCAATGGAAAGGGTCTTTGAGACTGACAGTTTTTGATAGTATGTGCCACATAGGTGCTATTTAAACTAAACCGTGACAGGTAGTATATTCTGAAATGCCTGGTGGTTTTTGTTGTTTGTTTTTTTTTTTTTTAAAAAAAGCATCTTATTTCCTGGAAGTGGTGGACCACTTAACAAAACGCATAGACTAGGTACGCAGCTGTAAAAACACTCCACCTCAGGCTTCTCAGATAATCAGAAGATGCAGACACACAGCCCACTGTATGCAGCGTGCGGTTCTGGGGCTGGCTGTGGGTGCAAGGAACAAGAGCTGTTTCTTTCTCTCCTCACACCACATTCAAACCCCTCACTGTGACAACAAAGTAAACTCACCCCAATGTGCTCCAAGAGAAAACTCCTTTTGTCCTGCCATGTTCCAAACTCACCTCTCTTCCCTCCGCTGAAGGAACGCATTGATATGCCATTTCAGAGTGCCCCTAACGATAACCTTGTGGAAACTAAACCAAGCAACAAAATCATCCTCCTCTGGTTTCCTCCAAAACCTGCCAGAAACAGTTCTAGGACTCTTACAACACATTATCAGGAAGAAAATCCTCTGCTTTCTTCTGTGAAAGCAATAGCAGAAGTCAAACCGAGCAGAACTACCCAGTTATTACACCTCATTTTGGCAAGCTGTCATAGAGATGATAATCCAGATTTATGACAGCCTCAGAGAACAGCCAGTCTAAACCAGGATCAGGTGGCAACACCTCTTTCCCAATAACTGTCCCATTTTAAAATGTGGCTGTGAAAAGCAGTGACTTTGTTCCAGGCTATTGGTTGTTACTGATTTCAGCTGTGCTGGATGATACTATTATTTAAAAAAAAGATTGTCAACTCTTTCACAAGAAAATAATCTGAAGGAAACCAAGGCCTAATGCTAGGGATCTAGTATTCATTGTCATTTTTCTTGAAGTTCTTAATAATAAAAGACCATTTTGGGATAACTGAACTGGATCCCTCTCAGACAGTGACGCTTGAGAGGTTGGTGAATCTCTCCTGCCTGCTCATGTGCCATGTACGCATACTCAGTCCACTGAACTTCCACCCCTCTTTCCAAATACTCCATCCTGTCTTCAGAAGCTTCAATGGTGAATGGAAACTCTTTTAAATCATCCAGGTTCCTCCTCTTGGAACACATTTAAAAGGTTGTTTTGGGAAAATATTTTTGCATCTCCTAAGCACTCACCTGTATAATCTCTGTAAGCAGAATACTCACTCTTGGTATTTTACAATTCTATTTAAAGCTCTTCAATACAGCAGAGTGCAATACTATCTCCACATGTAAGAACCACCATTTATATTTTCCTTAACGCTTAGTCAAAATAGTAAAGTCATAATGAGATCCAATGGGCAGAATCTGACAGCAGAAATTTTGAAAAGGAAATCTGGTACAAATGTTTAACTATGAAAGTGATTAATCATTTGAACAGCTTATCCAAGAATGTGGTAGATTTTCTGTCAACTGAAGCCATTAAATCAATAAATTTTTCCAGCAGACATGCTTTAATTCATCCAGAAGTTATGGAAATCAGTGCAGGATTATTAGGTAAAGTTCCGTCATCCCTGTCATGCAGAAAATCACTCAGTCAAAACGATCCCTTTTTAGATTTCAATTTCTATGACTTGCAGACATTTTCTGGGCTGTGGCACCGCAGTTAGCTAAAGCTGAACTCAGGCAGAACCAAGATTATGCTTCCTAAAGAGACAGTGTCCCCTTCATCATCAGGGATCAGACTGCAGTTTTGAGGTCCTTCAGGACTCCTCAATACCACTGAGTCTGTAAATAGCACCAGCAGCAGAAAATCTCGCAAAACGTGAAACACAAAATATTGCACATAGACCTGATCACAGCGATCCATGTATTTGTAACCTCCAGGCTGAATTACTGCAATCCTCCCTGCATGGGAAGGAGACCACACACGCTGGGTTCCCTCAGACAGGAGCAGAAAAGCCCATCTGATGGCCAGCCCAGGCCACTGTGCACACATCGATCTGTGGTCCTACGGCTGGGCTGAGACCCCTTTGCCAAATAACACAGTTTGGAGAGAGCCTGCCCGAATTAATATCCCAAAGGACTGGCCCTCGTTACCTGTGAAACTGCCTCTTTCTCCATTTGGCTGAAGCAGGCAAGTTATGAAGGAAGGGTTGAAGGGAGGAAATTCTTCCACAAAGCTAGCACCTCTGGCCACTTCTAATGGACCCCCAGGGAACAGTAAGACTACTGATGATTGGCTTGGCCTCACCTCTCCTCAACATCTGCAGAGATCTGTGAACTGGAAGAGGTTTTGTGCATGCCAGAGCAATTCACTCATCCACTGAGAACTTCCTAAATTACTACAACCTCTCCGTGTCCAGCTACAGACACCAGCAGTGCACAGACCCACGCAACGCTCCTCCAAGGCATCTCATTACAGCTTGTGTGTTGGAGGTCAGACTGGGCTGTTCCACAGCAACACTCAGCGTCTCCCCTCTGTTCCCATACTGAAGGGTTTTCCTGCCGGTTGGGTCCAGGTTTTAACCTGAGCACAATAAAGGTCCAGAACCACACAACATCGAGCAGTTAGTTACTTATTCACCAGTGCCAAATCCAAGCTGTGGGGCATGAAAACCTTTGTGGAAAGTAACATACTCTGTTTGCACAGTCATGACTTCATCCCCTTCTGCCTGCCCCAGTGCACGGAGGAAAATAATAATAATGCGTTTAAATTTAACTATGTCTTGTATACTAAAAAATATTCTTCCTGTCCTATTAAACAAAGAGTTGTACTGTACATTAATCCCACTGGAAAAAGGGAACAACCACAGCTGTGAGTATGACTAATAACTGACCCAGACTGTTACAGATGGCAAACAAATTGTCTCAGAAAAATCTGTGAAGTTAGCTCTTTTTTTTCAGGCCGCTACTGTATATATGAAAGTAAAATTCTACTGAGAAAGAAACAGAGATTTCTACTTACTGATACAAGAAATAAGATCATTAAATCTTTCCTTAGGAAAGACAGGGTTTTCCAGCCCTCGGAAATAGAGCTTCAGTACTCCAGCAACTGAGTTAATGTCATGGTTACTTTGGTCATCTGCCAAAGGATTTTCACCTTAAAAAGTAAATAAAGTGAATGAAACACACATGAAGAAGCATTCTTGCATGCAACATTTTTAGAAGTGAGTGGGGTTTTTTTGTTGTTTTTAGTGTGTGGGAGGTGGCAATGCAAGCATTCAAGTAAGATAATAAACACTGATTTAGAAATCCCAGGCTAAAACCAGCAGCCTAAATAAAGCTTCCTTTAAATTACATAACATAGTGATCTCTGAGGTCCTGAACTTCCAACTAGGTATTTATGGACATGTTGTGATTTACAGTTAGGAAAATACAAAAGCCAAATGTTCTTAATTGAATAGGGTTTCTCAGACTATTCTTTGGGAGCTTACATAAAGCAAATTGAGTTAGATAACTCTTTTAATTGGAGTTCAGTCTTCATTCTGAAAAAACCCAAAACATTCAGGAATATGTGCAACCATTTTGTGAAAACACTGTATAGGAACTGAAACCCTAACTGAAACCTCAGCCAGGACTGAACTACATGTCATTTTAAAGACTTAATCTGAAACACTTCAAAATGTATATATCTTCCAGAATAACACTACCTAGGAGAGGCAGTTAACAATAAGGCAGATTTAAAAGCTGGAGAATAGGAGGATGTGGCTTTACTCAGACTGTAAAAACAGCTGCTTCATGTATCTTGTCAAAGACGAGATCAGGTTTAACAAGATACATAACTAATCCTAGGGAGAAAAATGCTGTGCATATTTTTTCATGCTTTTAGTCACAAGACTTATTGCTGCAAGGGTTTTCTCATTAGCAGACGATCTGCAAAAGGTTCTTCTGGAAATTGAAAAACCAGCTTCTAAGACCCAAGGAAAGAGAATGTAAGATTTAAAAAAAATGGCAACTAGTATTGTGTTAACACAATTAGGGGATTGCTGGATCCTCGCTCTCCCAGTAGAGCAATCTTAGTCTGGGTGTTGCAAGCCGCTCATGTTTAAAAAGCTGTTTTCACTTCCTGGTATCTTTCCCATAATTCCTCCTCACGGGCTGAAGTTTCCTTTAGGCATGAAAACAGTGGTTGAAAATGGAACGACCCTTTCACAGCCCGTATTCTCACTGATCGTGATGCCACTTTGGCAGAGGGACCAGAAAGTTGAGCACTCGTATTCCAGAAGATCAATTAACAGGGTTCTCAAATTGTGTTAAGTAGACTCTTGAACCTAATTAAAACCCATAATCTTTCCTTTCTGAGGATCTTTAAAATAAAATATAGGCAAGCTATTATTTGCAGTTTATAATTAACAAAAAAATAAAGTTTACGATTGATTCAAGAGTCATATGCTTCATCTAAACAAAATGAAAAACAGGCTCAAGCTCCGAGGACATAACAGAGGAAAAATATGTACATGTCATCATTATACTTCATCTTCAAGCACATGACAGTGCAAAGTTTTAGGTGCAGTACACAAAGTGCATACAAACTGCTTAAACAGCCAAAAAAGTAATTAGAATTTAGAAGATTTTTAAATGTCAGATATTAAGGTGCTCGAATAAATGAAAATGCAATTACCTCTCTCAAATGAATTTTTAATATCATTGACTTCCACCTGGGAACCAGACACTCTGAAAATTCCCTGATGCTGAAGACCTGCAGCAAAGATGGGAGACAGTGGTGAGAAATTAATCTAGTTTTTAAAATACTTTTAATCTCTATTTTAAAAACAAAGCTGTGATGGTAAATGCATTATGAAAAAGATATGCGAAAAAGTCAGGGCAATAATGAAATTACATAGTATGTTTCAGAGCTTACCATATAAATTGATAAATCTGATACAGCTTTCCACTATGAGAGGAATGACTTGTCCTGAATCCTGGAAAAACAAAAGCGGAAAGAGTGAACTGCAGATTGGAAAGAGGAAAGCTCCCTGCTCTGGAATGAATGTGAAAATGTGTTTTCTTGGTCAATCCAGATGGACATACAGTGCTGGCAAAAAAACACATAAGAAAAAATATAATTTCTAACAGAGTTCTCTTCCCATTTAGGGAGGGAGGGAAAGCAACAGGTGAAGAGAAAGGATTACAATTCTTCATTAAAATAATTAAATCGGGAAATTCAGAGACTTCATTCTCTACCTCTGCCACTGTATCCGGCTAACACTGTATGTGACATCTAAGGTCATGCATGTGTTTTAGATTTTTGAAGCAAAATGAGTTAAAGCAGTGAATTTGCCTTTTAAAAAGTTTATTATTAAGAATAATAATTCATGATGAAGATGATCCCTCTGCATCCATTTAACTTACCTTTCTTTTCCTGGTGGAGAAAATCCTACATGGACCTAATCACACAGGACCTAATTCCTCGAGATGCTTTTTCTTTTGGTAAAAATGTTGATCACAAACAGTTGACAAGGCTTTTTCTGGACCTGCTGGACTATCAGAAATGTTCTTGGAGAAGAATGCCATTGCATGGGGTACCAGGTGTCCCCCTCTGACCTGAGAGCACTCCTGCGTGTTCTGCTGATGTGCGTGTCCTCACACAGGGCAGACGATGGCCTGGCGCGTTGTTTCAGGCTGCTCTAACTAGCTGGTAATACACCGGGTGGTGAACAGCAGCCACTTTGAGCTGAGCATGGGGTTCAGCCGCCTCTTCTGTAGGCAGAAAGGTACTGGGAAAGGGAGGTCACAGCCTGCACCTCCCCGCCTGCAGCTGGCAGAGCTCAGGAATCGAAGCTCCTGGTCTCAGCCGTGATACGGCAGCAGGTCTATAGCTACATCTTCAGTTAAGTACAAGTGTTTTAATAAAGGAGAAAAAAATGCCTGTGATGGGATGGGGAGAAGATGACTATACACTAACTTTCAGTGAGTTATTTGTCTTTTTCTTTTCAACTGCTGATTTTCCAAAAGAACTGTCACAGTCCTTTGTCTGTGTGTTTTGGCATTTAAAAAATGGATGTTTTAGCCCAAGGACATTAATGACTACAAGTCATCAAATATCTATTAAAGACATGAATCATATGATTTAAAATTATTTAGAAAAGTTGGTGCTTATGCTGGAAAAATTACTGTTTCATAAATAATAGGTACCTTTGAAATTCTTGTCTTGGAAGCTGTAATTTTTTTCCCAAATGAATTTCAAATATATAAGCTCTCAGAGAATTGACTAATTCATTTGAAAGTTTGATACAAAACCAGTCTGTATTACGAAGCCATGAATTCAAAAGCACCCTGTAACTCAAAATACACATTTCCTCTTACAAACTAGTCCTTCATTTTCATGCTAAGTTACACTAGTGGGAAGTTCATGAATTAAGCCCAAGTAGAAGAAAAGCCAACTACTAAAAAAAGTTCAAAAAATAACACACAGCGAAGCAATGAAACAATGCACTTCCTGAGATAACCTAACACCTGATCTTCTGTGTACTCCATGTTGTTTTAGTGGGGCCTACAAAAGACTGTACTGCTAATTATGCTATTTAAATCGTGGCTTGTTTGTCTTTTAATTTAAAACCTAGCAAAGACTGGCTAGCCAAGAACCAATAATGTCTGGATGAGCATTTTCTGTTTGAGTCGTGTTCATGATTCAGTAACAGCTGAATAACACCCCAACATGGAACAGTTCAGTTGCTAAACCCAGGAATACTGTCATCTTCGCCAACACTGAGCAGCCTGGCTCTCCAAAAGAGCAGAGTATTAGAAAACATGCACAACATGCACCCATAACTCCTGTTAGTACACTGGTTCATGCAAAGAATGTAAAGCCTTGGAAAAGATAGTGTTTGCAGTAAGAAATTACAAAAAAATAAATTACTTTCATACGTGGTTTTGGAGAATCTATTCAGAACCATGCACAACTTTGTAGTTAAGTAAGTCCGTGAAATAATCTAAACTAACAGCTTTGGATTTTGGATCTAATGACAGGAAAATAATTTGAAGTAACAATCTGTGTTGGTGAAATGTCAAGAACAGTGACCCTACCGCTGCTGTGAATTTAATCTGATGTGTGTAGTCAGTGAATGTATGTTTGGGACTAATTACCATTTCTTATGAGGCAAAAATGTAACAAAAAGCAATTTGGTGTGATACTGTATTTCACTAGCTGTAATCCTTTTGTGCCTGTCAAAATGACTCATCCCTATCAAGAATGACATGGTCTTTGGGCAGGGACGCTTTCCTAGGTTAGCTCCCACACTGGCAAATCCGTGATAAGGCTACCAGCTTTCTTTTCCTCCTTCCTTTTGAAAGACTATGTAGGGCTCTCCATTTGTAAGTAAGCCCTGTCACCCACATTGCCATGCAGCATAACCCTCTTCTCTGTGAGGGAAAATGACGGGGTACCATTTCTCCTGCTGTGCTCTATGCTTCTCTAATCCAGGGGCTTTTTGTTGTGGGAGTTTCTGCTTCTTTGCTTACTTTCATCCTTGAGCAAGAAACTGTTCATGATATTCATCTCTTGCATCATGTGATGATTTCCTGAAAGTCTTTGCACCTCACAGCACTGCCTGCATAATAATAACAGTTTCTCTATAGTTGTACTGAGGGTGGCTGAAAGCTTGATTCAAAGACAGCTAAACTGGTACGGTGCCACTGAGCACAGAATTTGTTCTGCAAAATATCTGCCGCTAGCTACGTTGCACGGGAAGAAAAAAAATAATCCCTGTAACGTTCAAACCTGGTTCACAGAGCTTGCATTCAGGAATTTAATTCACTGCATTTATAAATGTATTGTTACTTATTTTTTGAAGATTTCTTTCACTTAGCTCTGTCAGCTAGTGTCCAGAGGCACTAATTGACTGTGATGGGCAGGTGCTTGTTAATGAATAAGGAAATATCCACCATTTAAGACTACAATCACTCCAGAGTTGTGCTCTGGTTCAGTTTTGTCTGCTGTACTTGTACGCTCATTTCTTAATGCAAACTTCTCCCTCCAGGTCTTTGAAAGAGCTAATTTTGAGCCAGGCATGAATGCAACCCGAGAGCGAGGCAGAGGTGGTTCTCTTGTTACCAGAACTATACCTGATGTCTTGTGTGAGAGTTCCTTCGGCCTCGGCTAGAAGCATTATTAGAAATAAAAGTATGAGAAAGAAGAAGATAGTAAATACAGCAAAGATACAAGATCCAGAATAGCGGTGATCACAATTTCACACAATATAATAAATTCCTAAAGTCATAGGAAGTCAAAGGCTGGATATCAAACCCAGGGTAATACCGCTTCTCCACAGGCTTTGAATACTGAATGTAATGAAAACAGCAAGCAGGAAATTGTGCTAAGTCCTGGGATGCACCACTACATCCTATCTTCTACACGATGCTAAGTTTCCTAATAAAACCAAGCTGCCGATACTTGATTAACTTGATTAATCCCTACTTGATTAATGAAATCGTAGGGAGGCTAATGTGAGAAATCAATCCCTCTCTTTCCCTCTGACTTCAGGAAGTATTATATTGATCAACCGGGAAAGAAAAGAGCCCCAGGACAGACTTAAACATAATGATCTGCCTCAGCTCACGTGAGGTGGTGACCATTATAGTAAGAAGTGTTGAGATCAGCCACTGGGGTGGCTGGTGCCAGTACCTTGATGAATGACTCCAAATCACCATTAAACAACTTAGCACTATACTGTGATCGGGGTCTGGGCTTCCTGTGTTTCTGGGGCTTAGGGGGAAGATTTGGAGGCCTAAGGGAAGGGAATATGATTACTGAGCAAGGTAGAATTAAGTCACACAATAAAATGAAATGTCTGTAAGCTCATGGCAAAACAACAGTACATTGTAAAGGGAGAAATAAACACATTTATCAAATAAAGACTTCCCATCAAATTTAAGTGTAACAGTGATTGAAGAGTGGAGAACTCCCCCATTAAAAACACATTGCTTATGGATAAATATTGACATTCTTTATGAATTGCTCCTTTGCAGTTTTACCATATACATTTATTCCAAACATGGCACAATCGGAATGGCCTTTTTTGTTGCGGTCATGCATGAAATGTGCAGCAACCACTGGAATTCATCCTGCCAGCCACGGCAGAACACAGGCCACCCGAAGCACCTCTTATCAAGCAGAAAAGTTCCTTCATGCTGGAGAAGCTTCAAATGCAAATTAAAGCTGCTCAGCACACTCCTAAGATGCTTCAAAACCAAACCATCTGCATTTTCAACTAGAGCCAGGAAGGTTACACAGCTTTAGCCTTCCACATCCAACCATCAACAACTTCACATGAGAAAAGAAATAGCTTGCAAATTAGCTAAAGGAATTAAAAGAATATCATCAACTTGAAACAAACAAACAAAAGCAGCAAAACGCAAAAAAAGAAAAGGAAGAACACACAAAACTTTGGTCTGCAAAATGTTCACCTAGTGTGTTACACACATGATGACTACAACTGAAAGAGATTATAGGAAATAAATGTTGTTCTCTAGGTCACAATTTATTTTGTGAATGTCAGGGCACGCTACATGCCAACAGCTTCCCTAGCTCCCCTGCACCAGCAGTCCAATGTTTCTATAGGTTTTTCAGGAATTAGTAAAAAATGAAATGGTTTGAGGAGAACAATGAGGAACAATAATGCATAGAATATTAAGTGGTGGGACTTTGGTCTGTTTGGGTACTACCTGCTATTTTAAACTCATCTTTAAAGATATCCTCTTCCCTTCTACAATTTAATGTTGACCTTGAAGAACATTTCCATTTGTATGTCTTGCAGTCTGGAAACTTAACTGAACCTTAGGGCAACGGGCAGGTCCCAGCCGGAGCTGGGGAACTGGTGCTGCAGAACGGACGGGCAGGTCCTGCTCGCTCAGAGTTTCTTTCTCTAAGCGACCAGCTGCGAGAAAATAGGAGGTAAGATGGCTTCAAGCTGCTCCCCACTTTACTAAGGTAAAATTATTGTCTAAATCCATCACCTTCTTTCAGCTGCTTACACAGCAGGGAATTTAGGATTATGTGAGCCTGATGAGTCACCTGCTTTGGAGTCAAGAAAGAACATTTTTCTCATTAGACATAAGCTTGCTGACTTCCATGCATTCCTGGTAGCATCTGGGGGCAGAGTTAAAGGCACAGGTCTCAGAATTAGTGTCAGCAGTTGGGAAGAACACCCTGACTTGATACTGCTTTTCAATGGGCGTTGTGTAAGGAAAGAAGGTGAATTAAGTCTAACTTTAGAGAGCTAAAATGGACGATGGAGTGGTGGGAGAAAGGCTGGTCTGAAGTCTGTACAGAGGTCCCCAGGAATACAGGGGCCAGGCAGAAGAAATTATATAAAACCAAGTGGTCCAGCAAAGGCAGAGCCAGAGCTGGATCCAAACTTCTTAGCTGGGAGGGCAAGACTTTTTTTTTTTTTTTTAATTCAAAGATGAGGGGTGGTGGTGAGGCCATTCCTGTCCAGGAAGCAAAAAGGAGTAAGAGAAGGCATTGAGCAAGGATGTATTGCATGGAAAGGGAAAGGAATAGTGAGACCCGGAAAGCTGGGCTGTATGTTCCGGCTGTCACCAGGATGGGAAGTGGCCTGTTGCAGTGACAGACACAACTGGCAGCTGCAAATTCAAAGAGTTGCCATTGCCGCCCACAGCCGGATACCCCGGGGTCTGTAGTGCTGTCTGTGTTTATGTCTGCAGGCAGCATTGCAGGTGTAGCATTACACAACAGAGTAAGTATGTGCTGCACAAAACAGGGAGATCTAGCACTATATCCCTTTTCTTCTGTGAATATATAGACCCATTTGAGTATCAAACACATGGATGCTGGGCGAGGCAGGTATTCCTGTCCCCAACGAGGTTACCAAAGATGCAGCCTATCCCCTAAATTCAGCTCTGTATCAGGTGCTATGTACATAACTTATACTCTCTCTCTCTTTCCCTCTCTACACTCTCTCCATATAGAATATAAAGTATATACTCTGTGTATATAACTGTGTATCCTGACCAAGTGAATTACAAACTATGAGAGGTGAGGTGTCTCTAGCAATTGAAAAAAATTTTTTTCTAGCACCAAAAAGCCCCCCGCAGTATCCAGATTTGATGTCTGATGCACAAATATTTTTAAGGATCTCCCAGCTTGTCCCACCCTTGACACTGGCCTAAGCAGCTCACAAGAATGAGGAAGATGACAGTCTGGTCCTTCACCCATCAGCATGCAGAAATGGAAATGCTGAATATTAAAACACACAGGGCCTGTACACAATTTATGTAACAACAGCTACAACAACAATGTTATATACCCTTACAAACTTATTCTAAAATTTGTAATTTCTAAGATTTTATTACATTTGTAACTCTGTATCAAGTAAAATAAAAATATCTTACCTTGTTGTCATGTACTCAGCCCTGTGACCTAGAAAAGTTCAATAGACAGGAAACAATCATTTGTAGGTTCTAGGTAGATTTTTTTTGTATCTAAATTATGCTTGGCAAATTACTTTTAATCCTAACTTTCATGTTACCAGCAAAAGACATACAATTCTACAACAAACAGGGCAGTGCAGTTATCTACCATCTCCACAATTACATTTAAAATACAAACACGACCCATGTTATGGAACAACTTTTAAGAAGCCTGCCCACAGATTAAAGAGTCACTTGATACTGTAAATAATTTGCAGTAAAACTCCAAACAATGTCTATTTTTCGTGCTCATGTGTTTTAGTGGCTAAATCAGTATAGAAATACAGCTGTGCCTAGATTAGATTCCATCTCCCCTTGTGCCTAAAACCTGTTCAGTGCCGAAAATGCAGAGCTCTAGACACCAATGGCTTGCTATTGAAAGACTCCTTCCTCTCTTTTGTCTGTGTATTGCAGGAAATAAATACAATGCTATCACTGGGAAACACCACAGAGAACTGCAGAGAATTGTAAAGAGGCAAATACCACATTCCGGTAACCTTTGCAGAACAACAGACCAGTAAGTTAGGCACGTGCATCGTGTCAACTCATGATAATGAAAAGCAAAATAATGAAACAGTAGGAAGGTCATGGTATGATAAGTTCCAATCAGCCTAGTTTTCCCAAAGGAAAATTGTGCCTTATTAATTTATTAGAATTCTTTGAACATGTCAGTAAAATACTGTATAAAGGAGAATCAGTTGAATTAATTTACTTAGACTTTGAACGGCCCCTGATAAGTTTCTTCACAAGAGGCAACTAAAGCAACTAAACAGCCATGGATTGAGTGGCAAAATATTCTCATTGATCAAAAACTAATGAAGAAAAGGGAAACTGAGTGGAATTAAATGGTCTTTTTTCATCACGACAAAAGTGTAACAGTCATTTACTCAAGCCTGCCCATTAGGACCATTTATGTAATACATAATACATTTATTAATGTCTTGGAGAGATCACAGCAGCTAAGGAGGCAGAATACTGTGCAGATGACTGAAATATTTTTGTATCAAGTCCTGACAAAACTGTGAAGCTCTTCAGAGGGGTTTAACCATGTTAAGGAACAAGACATACAATGGCAAATGAAATTCAGTATTAACAGGTTCAAGCAAGATAGTAGGGAAGCAATAATTAAACACCTATGCAGCTAATGGAACTATAGATAATTATACTGACTCTGACTCTGAAAATCACTCAGGCTAGGTCTAAGTACACCGCTCAATTTGGAAGTGACACCAAAAAAGCTTGTCACACTGCAGAAAGAATGCAAAACAGTGATATGCAAAACATAATATTGTGTGGCAATGTCCAGGTGCACCTGAAATACTGCACAGTACTGAAATCCCTAATCTGAACATATATTTTGCAGTACCAGAAGAGTGGGGATCCACAGAAGGTGGCACAAAAAATAAGCTCCGGGAAAAATCTCTGGCATTAATAAGACATGTAAAGATTGTTGGCATCTATTTTAGAGAGGTGAAAAAGAGGGATGAAAGAAGAGTATGTAAAATAATCTGTGACAGAAAAAGGGTAGACCAAGGACTTCTCCCCACTCATGTTACCAAGGGAAGTTCATTGAGACTAAGAATCCCAATAATTAATGCTAATAAAACAAAAGATGTTACAAATCCCGAGTCTGGGGGATTTTAAACACATCTCTGATATTTAACAGATTAGGGCAAAAACTGTCTGGGACACAGGGGCCATTTCTTTTACAACTGCTTATTCTCTTTCTTGCATTTCCCTTTGCTGTGTTCCTTTGTTCATTCAATAGATGAGCCTTGGGTCAGAATTAATGTAAGTATCAGTGTGCTTCCTAAGTTTACTATCAACTTAATTTGAGTATTTCTCATTTAGTTTTCCAAATTTGTAGATGCAGACTCAGCACAGAGCACTTCATCTATCTCGCTTGTGCAGATCATGAATACGTATCTGCTGTGTCCATAAACAGCAACAGACTGTAGTAGGCAGGTGATGAACTGGAATAGAAGCCAAATGCTGTCAATGTTGTGGACACCAGACTGGAATCTGGATTTATTCAGCCTACATACTTACACTGTACAGGTTTGAATAAAAGCAAGAGAGGGTGCCAAAGGAAAACTTGCAGTTCAGACAATCCTCTCCCTCTCCCTGCATTCTCTTCCGCGTTACTTAATAACTCACCACCCTGTTTTATTTGTTTGCTGACATGAAAGTTTCCAGAAAAGGCAGTTTGAGTGGAGCAGGGGAGCAGTTCACTTCCTACAGATCCATTTCTATACTAGGTACAGCAATAATGTTCTTAATTCCACTGTAATTCTACCCTTTCAACTATCTCCATTTGTACAGAATCCAGGTCCTTCCCAGGCGTGTGCATTGTAATGCAGGACATGCCTCAATAGAAGGTGGTACTTGAACTTTTTAACCTGTATGAATGATGGCTTTTTCTCCAAGTATCGGCTTTGAATGCGGATGTATACATTTGAGGTACTATTTGTACGTGCTATGCTATGATGATGCAACAACCATGTGCAAAACCACTGTGGGCAACACAGATTAACTACGTGGGGTTACAGCTGGTGGGTTGAAGGGAACTCTTCAAACAGAACAGTCCAAGCATGCCTGAGCATGGCAGAACAGCCCAGAGCCTGATGGCAATTTGTCACTTAGGTCACCCTGCTGAGAAGTTTTTCTTTGGATTTCCTTTCATACACTTCTTTATTTTTTTCCAACATGCATTAGGCAACAGAACCTGTTGCCTTTTATCTTTCTCCTTTCAGTAAATGATCATGCATTTTACTGGGCTTCCAAATAACAAACATTTAATTTTTAACAAATACATTTTTTGTGAGCCTTTGGAGGAAAATGTTCCTCTTTTTTGACTAACATCAGCTGCACATTGTTTTGTGTGAATAAACTGCTCAATACACACATTCAAAAAAAAAATCCTATTAAATGAAAACTGTCATAAGAAAGAACATAATGTAGTTAGTTGTCTAAAAACAGCTACCATCTTCTACAGTCCATCCTTCCAAGAAAATGCTGTGTATTTCCTACCCCCAACCTCAGTCACTCCCTGGACAGGGGTTTTGTTTGGGTCATAGCCACTGAAATGTTAATAGCTCTTTAGGCACCTCCACAGCTGGATTTGTGGAGCTGGGCTTTTGTATTAAAAGCAAGAAGAGATCTGATTAACAACAGATTTTTGGCAGTAAAAAGAAAATAAATTGACACATCCTTTAGAGACACTCTTTAGAGAACAAGTTTCCTTTCTTGAGTCTGAACTTTGAATTATAGTCTTTAAACTTCAGGACAGGATTTTTAGTCTCTGTGGTGTAATTCACTTCCTCTCAAGTCTGTAACACTCTGTGTGGCTAGTCCTCAAGGCTTGCAGTGTGATTCTCCTTTTCCCTTTGATCCATGAGGAAATGCCTGTTGGGAGGGCTGGTAAGAGGTGAGCTGGAGCTGTGCATAGTGCCTGATTCATTACTGCCCTAATTCAGCTCTATTTCATTTGATCATGGATATCTGCTGACTTGGTTTATATTTTAAGGTACATTTTTAAAAATTGTGGAGAGTGTTCAGGACAATGGATAATTTTCTGCTATCATAATTTGTAGTACAATAATTTTTTTTGTAATGCAATAATTTTATATGCAATAATGATGATCAACATGTACAGAGCTATTCATTAAGTTTTCATTCATTCCAGTTGACAATACACAAATACTTTGTAGAAACCCAACATTAAATTAAGTCTATAAGAGTCTCACTACTGACATTAGTGAGGTCTGGATTTCACCTTTTAGGTTTCATAAACGCTCCATTGAGTTGTTAGGCTGCAAGAAGGTTGTTCATGTCCATGTGTCAGAAATATTGCACTAGTGAGTCCATGGTAAGAGATGCATCCTGGATAATTTTGCATGTTTAAAAAAATATCACTCTCCCACAACTCTTAAAGAAACCTCAAGTCAACAGAAATCGTTAGGAAGTAGAAACAGTACATTTGTCAGAGCTCTTAAATCATCCTGCACTGTGTCAGCTCTCCTTTCAGACATGAGATTTTTCATTCAACAGTTCCATTTCCAAATATAGTCACTTGTCTAAATATCTGTGTAGTGGAAATAAATATCTGTTGAAGAAACAAAATCCATTTATAGTGCGTACTCTTACCACTGCACCAAAACTATGACTGGTAAAACTCAAATCTATGCTTACTGGACAATTAAGCTTTAAGTTTTGTGGGTTTTTTTTCCTGCATACTTTTGGCATTTCAGTGGGTTCATTGTATAGTCTGGAACCACATTTCAGTTTATTGTGTGACATTTACCTTCTCCAAGTGTCCTCTGCAGCAAGTCATGTTTTGCTTGAAGTTTTGTGATGAGATTACTACCTTCCAGATATTCTCTGAACTTCTGTAGAGATGCAGATCAATCTATTACTGTTATGACACATAAATTCCAGGAACTTCTGCATAATGTTTACTTCAGGTGTTTGGTCTGTATCACATGAATGAGGAAGCAACCAACATACCATGAAATAGAATTGCTCTGTTTCCTGCTGGTTAGCTCTTCTTTTTGCAATGCTAGGCTTACTCAGGTATGTCTCGGAGACTGTTGACTTCACAGACTCTGTTGAGCGACTGTGCTGGAAACATTCTGACACATCGTAGTCTTCAATGGTGACCATATCTTGTATTGTCTGCAGTGTAGCCTCTGTTGTTTTCTTAACCTGGTGTTAAAAAGCACAGTTTACCAAATGGGAAGATAAATACATACCAGAACAGCTTAAAAGGGAAGCCGATTACTCAAAATAATTCTATGGCATGCTCCCCCAAACAAACTGGTGTGTGAACGTGAAAAATTAGATGTACTGTAATAAATACCTATGTAACAGAAGAATGACATGATTAGGTTTCCTGTCTAGTTCTCTGCTTTACCATGGTACAATCCACAAACATGGATGTACTCATGTGTTGACTGGATAGCATTCTCAAGCATCTCAAGCAAGTTTCCTGAAATTAGAATTAAAATGTGACATGATTTGGTTATGGCCCCTAATGTGGGACAACAGGCAATAGAGATAGATGATCCAGTGCTCTGAAGGGTCAACTTTCCCACGTGTGGTCAACGTGTTAGATCAAATGCGTACATCCATGGATCTGGCTGCCAGAACAACATGTTCTTCCAAGATAAAAATCTGTGACACCATTCTGCAGAGTGCTGCGGTGAGGAGCACAGTGATGTTTAGACTGCAGAAGTGGAATACACAGCTGGAGGAGGGGGTTGGAGAAAGAACAATTTACACCAGCCTCACAGCACTTCCTATGAGCAAGGGAGAGCGTAGTCGCTCATAGTGGAAACCAGGGCACAGCGGCAGTGGAACAGGGGATGCAGCGTTTCCGCAATGCCATAAAGTAACTGGCAGGATTCACAAGGATGTGATTTACCTCCCAGTTCTGCTTCGGAAGAGTCTCTAGCAGAGTCAACTTAACTGAATCACGCACACCGCTACACACATCTGCAGTGTAGGCAAACATGCTTTTTGTGCCTGCCAAAAGATTTCTCCCTCTATGACCTTGCACTTCACTTTACTGAAAGAAATAATCTTTCTCCTTCCTTTTGTCTTTGTTACCTTGAAGTCAAGTGGGATTTTTTAAAGATGACTGTACATGTCTCATGGACATTAATACTTTGTTCTAAGCACTCAGTACATAACATAGAGTAAGAAAAACTGGAATCCTGAAAACTTATCACAAAACTACACTAACAAATTAAATCATCCCTATGTTTTAATTTAGGAACAGATTCCCATTTAAACTGAGGGCCTCTAACACTGTCTTAAATTGGATAAAAGTGCAATTTATACCCACTGGGAGGCCCCTCTGCTGCCAGAGCAAGGGAAAGAGAACAGCACAGCTTTACTGTATTTAAAAAAAAATGCATTTTATGTTACTAGGTGAGCTATTCCCATCAAAGGCATTCAGTACTCGTGTTTATAAATAGCTGCAGCTGAGAGCTCAAGAGATTTTGACTCAGCTACCACAAAAGACAGTCCAAATTCCATTGTACTTCACCAGTAGCAATTTGGGGACTGGACAGAGGGTGGTCACAGAAGACAATAACTGTGCTCAGTTGCTTTCAACCACAAAACTTTAAAAATAAGTGCTCTAACAAGTTTTCACTGAAGCATCTGCAAAACACAGAACTCAGTAGTGTCAATGTATGGACAGGTAGAAGAGTAAGCTTCCAAACCTCTATAAAGCAGACACAGATCTACCTTAGCATATTTGCCAGCATTTGATTTTTAAAATTAAAACAACTCATACAGATTGAAGCCATTGCAGGGTCATTTACGTGCTTTTGACAAGGTAGAAAACACTGCACCTTCCTGAAAATGGTGTTCAATGCATAGCCCTTGTAGACACAGATCTTACCTCCTCATTTTCTATTTTGAGTGTGGCCAGTCGCGACTGTAGTTGCTGATACCTAAGCATAAGCTCTGCTTGCACAGGTTGCTGGGCAGTGACCTGACAAACCTAACAAAGAACCAGAAAGAGCTGTAAGATGCAAGGAATTAAAAAAACCAGTCAATAGTCTTTGGCTGCTCTCCTTAAAACTAGGTAAATTCCTACCAAAGCTACTAAAACTTAAAGAAGCAGACAATAAAATGCGTACATCTAAATTTAAAGTATTTATGTGTTACAAGGTGTGGAACTACATACTGCATCTTATGACTACAGAGCACAGCCTTGTTGTATGGCTGCTTTGCGTTGCTTCTCTATCACACAGAAATGCAAACCCTGGAATTACCTTCAGATAAAAGATGTACACAGATGATTCTGCATTCTGCTTTGTTACTGGCCTTTGGTGAGCAGAACAGGGCACAGCTGGGTTACCTGTACACTTGAAATCTCCAGATGATAAAATGGGGGACAAAGAAGGGGAAAAGGCTGCATTTCAGCATGCATAATTTGGAGCAGCTCTGCAGCTGCTCTCAAATAGCACCCACAAGCTCTCTTATGGGTGAGGCAGGTAGTGAAGACACAAAGTCGCTACTTACACCAATGCTGGGCTGAGCACAGGCTGGCCGGCAAATTCGCAGCAATGTCATTACGAGTAATACAGAATATAATAACACACAATGGTTTTTACTTGAGAACTCTGAAGAAACTCAGAACAGTGCTGCCAGTTTTGCAAAATGTTATTGCTGATCCACTTGCTTTTGGGTAGCAACAACAGATTTTACTAAACCCTTTGTAAAAGGGGATAAGTTCTCTATCTCGGTATATAGAAACAGAAACAGTCACTGTGTGGATACTTGTCAGTATACAGACCTCATCACCCATGTGAGACTGGAACTCAAATTTCATTGGTGGACAAAAAGCAGTGGGGTACATTTCCATGAATCTCTGCTTGTCACTTCGTGGCTCCAAGCTGTCAACTGCATTTTCAATGATGTCTAAGCCCTCATGCCTGGAAGTTTCAAGGTTATACTCTGCAGAAAGGTATGTTCTTAGGGCTCTGTTCAGACTAGCGTGGTATCCAAGATCGCAACACTGAAAACACAATAAAGGGAAAAGAAAACAACTTAAAAAGGAGGAACATCATTCCAATATCCCTAGTCACAAATTATCACTAAAATTTTCTGTCCTGAAATTCTTCTGTCTTTGAAGTGTTTTACAAAATATCTTCTAAATTAAAATACAATACTGGGGTCAAGACAGTAAGTATTTAGTATTCTCATTCTGTTGCAAAGATTGAAGGACAGTTTTAGAAAAGAGATCAAGTGTACAAGTATGGCAGTATGTTTGCATTTGTTTATCAGATACATATGTGCAGTCACTGTATTTACATAGAAAAGGTCTGAGACTCCATATACAAGTGGGCTTTTCAGTGTTACTGTCATATGTAAGCCTCAGATCATCTATTTAAACCCACCCTGACATAACTCTACCATCTACATCAATGCCAGCACCAAACTGAAAATGAAGCAATTCCTGCTCACCATGTCTGTGCCCAAATAAAAACCCACAAAATGGCCTCTAGCAGTAGGGACCCATCTAAATGCTTTTTGATGCAATAAGAATGGTTTAACATCCTTTCCCAATAGTGAAAACATATTTACTGTAAACACCTTATTTCCCATGCTCAGACAGAGCCAGCAATGTACATCATGTTAGTAAATGCAGAAAGTCATAATTTATGCCTTTTTCTGAGGGTGAGAATAACACTGGAATGTAATTGAAACCTAATTGGTAGAACATAAAGTTGTGTTTGTTCTTGAATTTTAAACATCCTTGGTTTGCATTATTCATGATTAGTTAATATTTTAGAGGAACAGCTGAATATATTTTTAAAATGTCACAGCAGTAATGTAACAAGTGATTGTTTCCTTAATTTTTTCCCCACATTACACAGTAAACAATATCCTCAGCTTCTGCTCAGTGAGCTTCCAGGTAATGGCAGATATATCACAAACCTCTCTGTCACCCAATAGTGGCACATCAGTCTGCTAACAGTTGCATACAAAGCAATGTTCTTTATTCAAACAGGAGAGATCTGTCCCATTCAGAGGCCAATGCCTGGCATGGGCAGTCAGCACGCTGCTTTAGGGCATCCCTCAGCTCCCAGCCACCCGTTCTGGGTGCCCAACCACAGTTTTAAATAATTCTTCCCTCCAGGACTCGCAAGTTAAGTGATGCAGTTGGGTAAAGAAGCAATTTGAATTCAGTCCACTGTAGACTATGTGCATGTGCGCACTGTTTATATGCATACCTCCTTCACAGCTGTTACAAACGATTAGGACTCATGGGATCATGTTCCCCTCCCCTTCTTCTTACTTATTTGAAAAAGGAGAGACAAAGACAGAGAGGGAGACAGACAGACAAACAGATGCAGACACTGCGTCAGAGTTTTCAACCTATTTACCATGCTTAAACCTGCGTATAGAAGAGAAAGAAACCCCTCACACCTTGCCTTAGGTGTACTAACAACTAGTGATCAGGCTGCTCTCTGAAATCTGACTGCAGAGGGCTGTTTTAACCTCCAGAAAGACTAAGCTTTCAGTCCAGGTGAGTATCCAGGTAGTTACAGCATATGGGACAGTGGCTCTCCAAAAAACAGTTGCTGAACCATTTGAAGAAAACAGAATAAAGATGTCATGTTCAATCAAGCACACATAGGTTAACCTCTCTCCTTCGTGTTTATAGAAGGGAAATTTGTGTTACGCTTACTAAAACAGCCACTCAACTTTTATAGTAAAGCACATCCATATTTCAAAGACCTCCATCTTAAAAAATATTGTTTCTAAAAGTAAAAGTCTCTTGGTGTTTTTCTCTTGTTCTGTGTCAAATCAGATCTCATATTTAATTCACTATCTTGGATGAAAAAGACAGACTGAAAGTGCTGATAAGAAAGTGGATCAGGACAGCTGTTTTATTTCATGTGCATTAGTTTCAGAGAGACCTCATGGAAGATTAAACTGAGAGGAAATGAGAAATAGAGGGCAATGCCAGGTTTAGCATGGCCAACTATCCATGTGTTATAAAACTGCAGGCATCTAAAGCTGAATTCTGGCTCTGGAGGATTAATCTGAGTATTAATAGAAAGCTTATTGATTTCCAATTAGAGCTGTGTGGGTTTCTGATGCAGCTTTTTTGCAAGTTGGAATATAAGATTGCAGCCTTTATGCTGTGACAGTACCAAGAACTTCACTGTTTAACCCTTAATCTACTCAGTAATTATCACCATGGTCATCTTCTGCAGGTGATGGCAGCTGAACAGGGTAACAAATACAGCTTCTCAGCCAAGAAGAAGGATTCTTCAAGTGAAGCAGAATATCCTGCCAGACTAAGGCATTTACTTGCAATGCCAATGCCAGCAGAGCAAACAGCAGCTAAATCCAGAACCTGAACTAATGCCTTATTACCAATAGCTCTTTGAATGGAATTTAAAATGCCTGAATTGGGAATTTTGCTTCAATGATTTAAGTAAAAATAGAATTTGCATAAATGAAGTATTGTGGGTTTTTTTTAAAGCAAAAATAAACACTCATTAGACATCACAACTCTTACTTCTGCCAGACTGTAGTTCACTTTCTCCGAAATTTGGAGACAGATAATTTTAACTGGGGAATGGCTGTCACAATATCAACTCATGGCTACTCAGAAAGAAGAGTACCTTTCTAATCTGTTAGTACTAGTGATGGTTTAGAGAGTTGGCACTTCAGGTATTTGCTCATTACTAAGACTAAAAATTGAAGATACTGCCACTGAACTGCTGCTCCCACCACATCCTGTCTGTCTAGGCTTGGGAAAAAAAATCACCAACCTTTCTGGTGTTGCAAAAAAGTACAAATGTATGCACATATACACACATGCATGCCTACATGTACACACAATTTTCAGGAAAAATCTGTAGATTTGTAGAAAGATTTGTAAAGTTCAAGTGAGCAACCACACTGTTAGACAAAATAAATATGAATCTTTGAGATTCACTAATCAGCATACAAAGGCTACAGCTTAGATGGCTAAAGAGATCTGCTATCAATCTATGGCCTAGAGAGATGAGATGTCAGTTGGTGCAGTAAGACATGAAGGTGAGAAATGAGAGAATGAAGTCATAGACTATGAGTTTTATTGCATTCCTGGATTCATAAAGACTTTTGGTTGGGCAAAAAGTAGGGAGATGAGTGATGCATTTGGGATATGTGTGAAAAATTAATTTTGTAATTTGCATTTTAGTCTTATTTGGAATTAAATCTGAAGCAGTCTCAAGAGCATTTACTGTCTTTATTGCACCCCAGAGTGTATTTAGGCTTGAACAAAACAAACTGCAGTGCTTAGCATACAGCTTCAACCAAACAACCAAGCTGCTCTTCATTTCATTTCAGGAATAATAATAAAATTCTAATGCCAATGGAGAGAGAAATTCATAAAAAAAAGCCTTAACCTCTGAATAAGTCACTTTCTGCTCATCCTGTTACACAGACATCAACATTCAAATCAAAGGGATCTAGCTGTACGTATCATATTTATGAGAACTTACATAATAAAGATTGTGAGCTGCACACACTCTACCCTAGTTTTAAACTTGGTTCTATGAATGATTAACAAAGAACCTTTACAGAATAAATTAAGTTCATAATAGCTAAATGTTCCCTAACTTCTTAACCATCCAAAGCATGCAGACTGCAATTAGAGATTCAGAAACTCTACTCTAAGAAAGACCAACACATGAATATTTTATTTATTCCAGCAGCAGAACTACAGTCAACTACAGTATTTTGATCACTATTTCCTAGCATTTATCTTCAGATCATGAGTGCATGGCAAGTCTGAAAAAAGGTCCCTACCTTCCTCTTATACCCAGATAAATCTAATAAACTCAATTACATGAAAATCTTCAAGTAAATGAGTAACAGTATGTGCCATACAGACAGATGTTGGTACTAACAGTCAGATTAGCCGGGGTGTGTACTCTGTTGCTCCTTTGAAACCCACAATCAAAAAAAAAAAATTCTACATACTATTTAATCTAGCTAAAAAGTAAACTTTACTACTTTTTACATGATACAAATAAAGAAAAAAACCTAACCTCATCCTCCACTTGAACTAGATCCTAGTATATAGTGAGCAGAGAAGAAATTTTCAACAGAAAATTCAAATTCCTCTAGTACAATATGCAGAGGACAGAAATATACTGTGCATATCAAATCCTGCTTATCTCCCTACTTCTTTGCAAATGTTGGTCCCAACCCTCAGCTCACTCAATGCATTAAAACATCCAGCTATATTTTTGTCTTGCTTTTATCACAAGAGCTTAAGATGAACAACACATCATCATTTTAAGTCAGAAGCCCTGAGCTTTGTCAATGAGAAGGAGTTGAACAGTTCAGACCGAGTTCAGCTGAGGAACCGCAATATAGAATTTTCCACATGAGCCTCACGAATGGAAAATGCAGTGGAATCCAATTAAAAAATGTTTTGGTTTTTTTGGTTTTTTTTGTAAAAAAAAAAAATAGTCCTACAACCCTCCCCAAACTTGTTACAAAAAAATTATTAAACAGTTCACTGCATTCCTTCATATATTTATCTGATTTTTATCAGACATATTTTTCAGTAATGTAGGAAAACATTCAGTTTCTTTTATGGGCAATACCAACAGCTCAGGTGATATAAATCCCTTCCATGTTAACTGGAATTCAGACACAGAGAAGAGGTAATCCCCTTCTGTACATGCAAAGACAGAGTGAGTTCAGGGAAACACAGAAAGTCAGGCAGGCAGATGGGGACAAAACAGAGAGGGCAAAAAATGAAATCGTCACCGCTGCTCTGAAAACTCCAAATCGTACCACGACATTAATAGATTTACAGAACAAGATAGTCTGGACTGTTGCAACATATGGCCAGTGGGAAGCATGTCTCACATTCCAATGATATAATCCCATAATCTTGCCAAGACTCTTGCATTTACAAAAAGCATTTCCTTTGTCAAGTAGTAAACACTGTGTCTAGATACCTATGCCTTCACAGCATATTCTGATTAAATACAAATGTCTGAAAGACACTTCATTTGAACAAGCTCACAATCGTATTAAATTGGCTCTGAAGCAAATTCTGGTTTCACATGTTTACAGCCTACTCTTACAAAACAGTGATGCAAAGGGCAGCTAGACTTTCCTTTTAAATTCCTTAGGGAAGAGTAATTTCTAAAGCCATATTGCCAAAAGAATGTTATTGTCTACATTGGTCCACGGCTTGGAAAAAGCCACACAAACTAGGCATCATTTTCCTGCATTACTAAATACTGTAGAATGTATATTTCTATTAAAAACTAGCAGTTAGAAAGCTCTAGTCTTCATAGTTGTGTAAATATCTTCTCAAACAGTAACTCCAAAGACTGTTGTCTTTGTATATATATGCAGAGAGAGCTTCACTTTGCTTCTCCTTGCAATTCTTTGTGAAGCTTCAGGCCCATGGTTCCTCCCCTCAGCTTTCACTGCTACAGCAGTCTCTGGGGACATCAATGAAATGGGTGAAAATCAGGTGCATTTTCCAAACCTCAGAAAGTTTTGACCAAGTAGAAACATGCACTGGAGACATTCACTGGGAAGTGTGAGCTCCGAAAGAGAAGGCAGGAGAGAAGACAAAATTAGCATCTTTCCAGCCTCTGAAGGGGTGGGGGTGCTGGGAAGAGGGGAAAAGGGACCTTTCCTTCCAGCAACCAGGAAGAACTCATAAAGCTCACCTTTATCTGACATGCCCTAACTAGAAGCTAAAAATCCATCATCCTTTAAGCAGTATCAGGAAAATTATCCATTAGGTAGGGACAACTTCTCACTTGGGTGGTACCCTAGCAGGTATGCTGCTTGTCCTTAGTTTTCTGCCCTGATCATCTATCTCTTGGGACCCTGATAAATGTTTCCATTGCCTGGGCAGGCCAGGTGTGTGGAGCAGGATGTGCAGGTGCATGGATGTAGGTTAGACAGGGACAATATACAGCTGAATAAACCAGAAGAAATCAGAAGAGAAAAGACATGCAACAGTGATTAGGAAAGAGGAAGAAAAGAGATGTCGAGATAGAGACAGCCAGAAACACTGAAAACACCAAAAAGATACTTCACCATCTCTTATAAGAAAGAAGCAAGAAAAAAACCAGAGCAAAACCATTTGGAGAGAAAAATGTTGAAAAGGAAAAGGTAAAAGTTGTAAAAAAATCAGGCAATATTTTATAAATTACAGGAAAACACAAATGTCGAAGAAAACAAAACTGACTCTCAGTATTTAGAAAACATACAATAAAACATGCAGCTATTTTAGTCCACTCATCTCAAGATGGCATTTTTCCCCTTCTCTATCAAGCTTTTCTTCTCCAGGCAGTAGAAATGAGAAACCTCTTGTCAAATGCTGCATTAATTTATACTATATTGCAAACCAGAGCTTAGCTGGCTTATCTTTGTGATGAACATCCCACCAGAAATGACTGTATGTGAATCTTACTTACTCTTGTAAATAACTAATGCTATTGTTGCAGTAGAAAACACATTCAAATATCTAGCATTTCACATGGGCCACAGAGGTGTACCCACTGACTTATTTAGCACTACATTGCTAGTGAATGAATATTCTTGAGCTTGTGTTTGCTGCCTCCAAATTTCCTCTATCAAATATGTGGTCAGGTTACGAAGAGAATGGGACATGATAGAGTGTGGGATCCTCCGCATCATCTAAAAATATGTCAGTAACACAGATTCTGGAGACCAAATGCTGGTACAAGTCAACATCAGTGTATAACCTCATTCTCCTAGGATGTTCTCACAGGAATAACTTAATGAAAATCAGTAACAATTCTGCTGACAGTACAGAGCACAGGATTGATTGTGTCTGTTCTGCAAACTACATGAAATAAGAATAAAAAGCACTGTATATTTGATTCAATGACTAAATGAATGAAACTAAATGATTTTGAAGACACAGAGGAAATGCCCTCTTTTCAGTTAAAATACCATTATTAGATGCCCACTTAAGAAGCTTATCTTGTAAAAAATATTTGTACCCCAGAAATCCTTTTATAGTACAAAATGAAAATGTCTACCTTTTTTGTGTTATTCCTGTCATATTTTCTCTTGCCACATGGGGAGAAAACATAATGTTCTAACTTAAAAGAAATGGGTTCAGCATCTTATTGACACTTTATTTTGTGAAATATAAAGCTAAAGAGAAAACCTGCTGATTATACCATACAACGTTATAAATGATAAGCGTCTTGTAGGCAAGCCATATGACTAATGTATTTCCTTTGAAAATGAAAAAAAAAAAAAAAAAAAAAAAGTAATATTCCTGAAGAGAATAAATATAAAACCAAATGTGCCAATACTTACATCAATTAAATCCGAAAGGTCATGAATATAATACTTGAAAACAGAAGCATTGGTTGCTTCAAGGGTGAGCAGGTATTCATTACGGGCCTTAATAGATTTCAGCTTGTTTTCAGAATATTTTGCTTGACGCTAGGAAAGAGATTGTATATTAATGTATTTGAATTACTTCATTTTTGGTATGTAGCAAAAATGGTAACAATTCAAGCACACACTCCGATTAACAAGAAAGAATCTTAATTGCCAGCCTGTTATGCATGTAACAAATGTAATACAGAGTGATAACTTAGTACTTTGTTTCAAATGTGACAAACCATGTAGTAAGAGTTACACTGGGAATAAAGTATTCCCTTCTCTGAACTGCAATTGAGTGAAGTTATCTATAAGCCACTGCTAGTTTGTGTACCTTGTTTAATTTTATTTCCCAGCTGGACTTCTCTGTCTAACATCATGCTAAAGAATGTCAGAAATGCACTGGATTTATTTCAAATGAAGCTAAATAAAAGGACTATTTACTTTTTCCTTCATTTTTTCAATCTTCTTCACAGAGCTCCGTCTCTGGTGCCTTTCTTCTAGTCTAATATGAAAAACAGGGTCTCCTGACCTCCCAATCTGTTTTTCTTCTTGCTTCTCTGCCTCCTTCAGTTTGCTTTCTGCACTGATGCTCTCTGCATGATACATGTGGTATGTTTTCATGACCTGCAAAAGACAAGAGTCAAAGGAGAGTTAGGAGAAAATGAAAAAATAAAGGTATCTATGGAAAAACCACAGGGTCTTTGAGTAAATATAAACATGGATCTTGGATAAGTTTCTTTGCCAACAGAGATTGAGGACTTCTGGTTGCATTTTTCTTTTCTGATTTATTTAGTAGTAGCCTAATACGGGTGGTTTTTTTTTCCATTGCTCTGATAGGAAAGAGCAAAATCCTTCTTATTAACCTTCAGGATTCTTATTTTGAATGAAAACCTGAAATAACGAGCAATAAAACTAAATCTAGACCAGTGACATATCTATCTGACTTCTTCAGGGCTAAGTTAACAGCTCGGCTGTGGGCATTGGACGTTTGAAAGTGAACAGCCCGCTTCAGCACCGAAGAAGGGGAAGGGAGCAGAGGCAGCGGGAAGCTTCGGCCTGGGAGCACATCCCAGCCGCGTGGCTGTCCGTGGCCTGGGAAGAAGTGGCTCCCAGCCGTGCAGCCTGCAGATTGGGCGTGATGTAAAACCAGATGAGAGCCGGAGAAGGAGCCACCTGATAAATAAGTTGTGAGGATGCTTTCCCCATAGCCCCCCAGTTAATACCATTATCTTCCCTCTACACACGCGCTGGCTCTACAGCCAAGAGAGCTTGGGCTGCCAGCCTGCAAATACGTGCTTGCACAGACCACAGAGAGGGAGAGGGACTGGTTCAGCCCAGTCCTCTCTTTCTTCTTCAAGCAAGAAAAGCCTCAGCTTGAATGCTGCGTAGTGGGCAGCAAGCAACCACAAACGACCCACCTCTGCTGGGGAGGGCTGTCTCTGCCCATCTCCAGCAAAGAAAGCCTCCTTCCACCTTCCCCAGCACCTTTTTTCTTTGTTTGGTTTTTTTTGTTGTTGTTGCCTTAAGTTTCAAGCAAGGAACAAAGCAGGAAGGCATCCTCAGGCGCCCGGCGGCCTCCTTTCCTCTTCACGGGGTGCCAGAGCTCTCGCCAGCAGATGTTATCTTTGGGCTGAGGCCATGCAAGCCATTCACATTTCCTCCAAAGGACACAGCCAGGGAGGAATCAAATGGGCTGTTCCTCCCTCAGCAGAGCTTTGTGTGACCCATGGAGGAGACAGACTTGTTTGGGGAGCTACCTTGAAATATTCCCTATGGGGAGGACTACTTTTTGTAACTGAGCAGTTAGCCAGCCTAAGGAGTCTCCACAGAGTGGCAACGCTGGGGATGCTAAAGCTAGACAGCGCAAATTCACTGCAGCATGGCTTAGCGTGGGTCGACACAAACCAACTGCATGCCACGTCAGGTGATGGCTGAACCAATGCATATTTAGTCTTGTGCAACGGAAAGAAAGAAGCTTTTAGAGAGCTGCCATTTTGCATAACCATGTATGCTATGTATATGTTATACACCATAACTGTGTATGCCACTATTTAATACTGATGCCATGCTGTTGATAGAACTGAAATAGGATTGATATTAAAAATGAAACAGGCAACTCTTCACTAACTTCCTATAGTAAGGTAAAACAGTTGGAGCCATGCACCAAAAAGAGTTGTCTTGGTTTTATTTTTAAAAACATATGCTTGCAGCGCTCTGCTGAAAAAAACCAAATTGCCCGGAGCAGGGCTCAGTGTTATTGCTGCTGCTATTTTATAGCACAGTCATGTTCCAAGGCCTGACCAGAGTGCAGAGCTGCCTGCCTGAGCACTGCCTACATACACCCGCTGGGAACAGCCACTGCCCCAGCAGCTCAGTCTACATGGATGAGGCAAAAACCCAAAGATGAAACAAACCAAGCAGGGAAGAGAAGGCAAGCCTGTAGAGCCAAGATCTGCACAGTTCTCAGCTTAACCAAAGGGCGCATTCAGCTCCCTATGTCCTGCACTGTTACCAAAGGCATTTCTAAAGTTATCAATAATCTGTACCCGGGGAGTCTAACTCGTACAGCCACATGGAAAGAATTACCAAAAAGAGAAGAAATGCACTTCTTAAAGAAATGATTTATAAAACAAACCTGAGAAGCACAGAAAGTGATATGGCTCTATTAAAAATGATGGGAAAAGGAAATTAAAAACAAGGTTGTGCCCTTCTCTTTTGGTCTTTTTATTCAATTTTTGGAGTGCTTCTTTACAGAAGTCTAGAGGTGTTTGCTTTTAATTTTTTTCTTTTGTTCTGTGTCAGCTCCAGAGGCTTTTTAGTTGGTGGGACAAGGCTAACTCATGTGTCTTACCACTTTGGAAAGTTATTTTCTTACTCTCTCAGTTTTTCTGCCAGCAAAGAGGGAACAATACTATCTCAGAGTTTCCTAACAGCACATCTCACAGCATCTGACTTAAGTGGTGAAGCAAGGATTTGATCTGCTTGACAAAAGCAGTAAGCACTGAAGTTTTTGAAGCATTTTTTTCTGAGTTCCATGTAGCCCAATGGACTAGACATAAATGTCTTTCTGCAGCGGCTGTGACATTCCAGCTTGCCTCTTTGTTGAGTGAAGGAGTACAAGTGTATCGCTACCAGCTCTCACCAAGAGGCTCACATGCCTCCACGCTGACTCCACTAACCTCACATCACTGAAAAGTATTTTCTTCCTCTCACTGCCTGCTTACAGCATGTGCTACCAAATTCAGAGTGTCTCACTATACACCAATTGAAAGTCAAGTTTTATGTGAGGATGACATGGAGCTCGTAGTCTCTATGGAGAAACAAGAAGTCTACTTGAAACCCATGTTCTCGCAACAAACTGCGCAAGTTCTTGGTACCAATGATTCCTAAGATAACTAAAATTGAAAAAGAAGCCCTCCCTTTGGCAGTATATTCAGGGCTGGACAACAGTCAGAGTCTGTCCTACCCGAGCCTTGCTGGTTTAGAAATCAATACAGACTATGTGTAGAGCAGTGATCAGCCTATGCATTTGACATGGGTCCAGTTTGTTATGTTGACAGCATTGCTTATCTCATGTGCTAGTGACATCATTATTTTGCAAGCCTCTGGGGAAAGCTGACAGCTCCAGCCTTTTTCATGATTTGTCAATGTGTTTTAAGAGCCGATATTGCAGCAGCTAAACTTAACTTGAGAAAGCATTAGACAGACATATGAAAAATAGATGGGAACAAGCTAGGGAGTTGGCTTCCAAGTATTTCAGTGCACGCTTCCTCAACAAATTAGCTTAGAATTTGCACGCTAAGTTGCATATATGACTCTCTCCCTTAATATTATGCCATCTTCTCTCCCTGGAGTTTTTAAAAGACTGTAGATACTTTTAGATACTGTAAAAGACAGTAACAGGCTTGCCTAATTCTTGTAAATACACTTACTGTATGAAGAATTCTGAGATCCACAGATCTCCAATCTGTGAATATGTAACAGATCCACAGATCTGTTATTCAAATGACAAATAATCCAATGAAATAAGCAATACCACTTCTCAAATATCCACTAAACTGTTGAACGATAGACTGTCCTGTGAGAGTATCCATCACTGAACTGACTTTAATTAGACCCCAAAGTGCTTATTGATCAGCCATCAAGTATGCACTGAAAAGAGAGCAAGGTCGTAATTTTGCAGATGCTGAACTGTCATCATGACATATACTGCACTTCTCTGCTGTAGTGAAGAAGCATTCTACTCCCTTTCTAAAATTAAACAGGGACTTTATCTCCTATTAATTTAGCAGGTTTATTCTGCAGATCCAGTGATGTAAAATACAGATTTCTGTCAGATAACTAAGTCAGACTACAAGCAGATGAACAAGATTATGCTACCCAAACTATGTACTCTCTCACTTGTAGGTGACAGACTGTTCACTTAGTGATATAAACGTCTCATTTTGTGTGCCAAATTTTCAGCATCATTCATAAGAGCTCAGCAAGTAGGCTCAGGGCAGAAGATAGCACTTATCACAGGGAAGGGCACATTAGAGTAAACCGTTAGATAATTACTTTATTTAAACCCACAGTTGTTATCTGGGCAAATCAATCAACAAGACAGTAATTAGTGCTGTACTTCTGTGGGCTACAAGAGAGGAACGTTCCTGTAGCAAGGTGCTGGCTTTCCTTTTTCTACATGCATACTGCTTTTCTAGAAAGCTTCTTAACCCAAGGTACCAAAACTGAATGCTACTAAGTTAAAATATATTGGAATTACCATGTGTTACCTTGTGCTTTATTTTTCTAATAAAACTGCATAATTAAGGGCTTTTTCATAGTGTTTCTCAGGAAAAAGGCATTTAACGGAACAGTAGTTCATCCCTGTTGCAATTACCGTGTTTGAATTGTTTCAGAATTGTCTCTGCTAAGTCGCGAGTTCCTATCAGAAGGTGGAGTTACAAGGGATTCATTAAATCAGGTTAGCTAGTACTTTCCTCAAGAAATAAGTAAAATCTTATGCCAATTTTACTACTTCAGTGGCCTATAGCAGTTAAGTAGGTTCAGTATTAGCTGTTTTCAGCATCCTGTTCACTTCCAAACCAACCTCTGATGTGGTTCCAGGAATTGTCACTGATATATTACTACCAATACAGAATTACTGATTTCACCTTCTCAGATCTCTGGTGTGCTACAGTAAATTGGACTTAACTTTTCTACAGAGAATCCAGATTCTGTGTTATTTCAGCAAAGAAAAAAGAAAATCTGGCAGCAACTTCCTTGAGAAATTAAACAGCCAAGATTTTTAAATAGTAAGATAAAGCAATGGAAAATGCAAGCAGCACAGCAGCCCTGTCTTATTTAATATTAAACGGTTTGCTTTGGACCGTCCGTACTTTTTCATTTTTCTGAAAGCCTTACATATGTATTGCTTGTGAAAAGTGCGATGCCAGTAATTTGGAAAGCCAAGTGGGAGACATGAAGATGTATTTTCATGACGTGCATCACTTTTCTCCACCATTCCCCCTCATCCTTATTACCAGAACAGTTCTGTATTTTTAGCAAACTCATATTCATTGATCCCCCCTGACTCCTTTAGAGGTCATTTATGAATATGCCCTCACCCCTAAATAAATCCAGTGGAGTCCTCCCTCCATTGCAAGAAAAGACTCTGCCTACCTTCTGTTTCCTACCATTCCCAATTACTCAGATGTTACTGTCATATTCCAGTATTTGATCTGATAATACAAGATATTTTAGCTTTCCAGAGAAATGAAACGAGTTTGACTGGGGAGCTGTCTCTGTTGCAAAGATGATCTATTGTAAAATCAATAATCTCTTGCCTCCTTAAATCAACATGTAAGAAGGTTTCTAAATCTCTCAGTTCACAAAAAAAACACCAACCCAAACCTCCTGCAGTTTTCAGTTTGAGCAACTTTTTTTCCTGTAATTGTCAGGAAATAACCTCCTCTCTGTGACCCCCCACAACTAACCAGGCTCCTCTTTCCCCATCCCCACTCACTCAAAAGGTATGCCTTGCTCTAGTTTCAACAGCTTATATCCATACATAAAACATGGGACTAATTACTAGTCTACATTGGCTGAAAGCGTAATAGGGAGAGGAGTAACAGAGCAATGCAGCAGCTGGGATGCTGCAGACTTGAAAATACTAACTGGCTGGCACAGCCAGGGAGAATCCATGCATAATTAAAAGTACTCGCCACTCATCATTTGCTTATATCATCTGAACTTGCAAAGGTACAGACTGAAGCTTAGCTATTTAATTGTTTTTAGCATGATGTTTTGAGTCATAATTTAAGAACCAGTGCACAAAATACTGACAATTGAAAATATAGTCTTAAAATGCATTTTCACTAGTCATGTGAGCAACATGTAGAAAACATATGAATATGTACCATAATGTGTAAGAAAACCTTCTCTGTGTAAAAGAGATGGAAAATGAAAAAGTAAAGTTGCCCTTACAAAATTCTGATTATTCCAGCAAAATGAGCCTGCTTTGCTCACAGGTTCTTAGAACATCTTCTGAAGCCTCGCTTCACCTGCTTCTGTTCTTATTTTTTCAACAATCCTGTACATGATGTGCAATTTTAATGAGAATGGCACAAGCCAAAGTCAACACAAGCTAAGCTACTCCCAGGGAGTAAAGGAAGACCTATGGTACGAACCTCCCATTTCCATGATAATTCCTAGTAATGAAAATGGGAAAAGAAATTAATTGCATAAAGCGTAAGCAAGGAAAAAGGTCTCTTATTAGTGTGCATTTTTAAAAAACATTAGGTATTTAATACTCCAAAGTGTCTGATTTTATTTTTTTGACATTTCATTGCAGTTCTGAGCTTTTCCACATTAAATAAGCAGCCAGAATGCATTCTAGTCTCTCTCTCTCTCTCGGCACAGGTTCAAACTTTCACAAGTTAAAAAACATCTTTGAGCAGAAAGTTTTTTGAATTGAAAGTCTTCATAATGCACTCTTAGTGGAAGGTGGCATGTCTCTTCAATTCCTCAGTGTTTTCTTATTTTCTCCTCTTAGAACAGTTTCTTCTTTGCAAAATCTATGGCACTGCTAATTGACTTGTTTGATCTAAAAACTGTCAAAACCAATGGACACAACTCCTTAACTACAGCAGGTTTTAGATCTGGCCCTATGAACAGGTTAAAAATAATTTTCTGAGGCAGAAGTGCAAGACTAGATTTTCAGAGATGGGTCCCAAAGTCACCTTTTTTTTCTGGCACCTTCTATGATACAGAAGACTAGGACACCTGATACAGTGTTGTCACCTGAAGAAAAGTCAGTTGTTATTCTGATACTTAGTAGGCTGTGTTAGAATTCATCTATTAAAAATATTTGGACCAAATCAGTAGCAATTCCTTTAAACATCCCATCTATTCTAGATCATTCTAGATAAACTGGATTTGAGACATCTGGTGCTCGAAAAGTCTGAAAGCAGGTGTGGTGAAACCTCAGGTCTGGCTGGCGTGCTAGAGGTGGTTGGGTAGAGCTTCTCATCATTTGGGTTTGAAACAAGCATTTAATCCAGCCCCTGACCCCGCAGCATTAGGGAAATCCAGGCAAGTAATGTCTTAAACCTTGTCAGTGGAGCGAACAATGTGTTTGCTTGAAAGAGTTTCTGTGGAGCTGCAGAACTACTGTGTGTGCCTGAATACGTCTGCCTATGGAAGCTACTCCTCATCTAAGTAGGTCAAGGAGTAACAAATAAAACATGCAATTTCTTTCATTGACTATACACCTGTGCCTCAGCACAAAAACTTCGTACTATTTTAGCTTTTAGTGATTTTAATTCTCTTCTTTCATTCTCTTCAACACACTTTTATGCACAACTGTGTGTTTTTTATTTCTGGAGGGTGATCTTAATTCACAAACCTTTCTTGTAAGATAAGGAATGATGATAAAAAGTAAGCAGGTTTTTAAACTCTTCTTCATACACACCCTGTTCATTAAAAGCTCCAATACTTTCCCCTCACTCAAAGGCTTTAGAGGTATTTGAACTCCAATAAGGCTTCACATTTTAACAGTTATACTTCACGAACTTACCATTCCTTTAAAAAAAACAGAACCAAGTAATAGGGAGACACTTCAATATTAGTATATTATTCACTGACTTGAAATTAAATTGCTTTCTTTTGGACACAAAGATTTATCTCACAGTAGTAGTAAGACTGATTTTTTTTTTCCTTTCCATAAATCATGGGGCAAAGAGGAAGATGACTTCTCCTTTTTGTACATGACTGAGAAACATACCTCCTGGATTTTAAAATTGTAGATACTTGTTTTGGTAAGACCACTGTGATCTTATTCTGTAAACAGTAAATGTCACACATAATTAAAAACCTATGCATGAGGTTTCCTTGTGTCTAGATATCTTTATGTACACAAGAACATATATTACACAGATATGCTGATGATCATTCTAAAGATGCAATCAGTGAAACCGATGCTATTCTGCACCATATTGTCATTTTACTAAGCCTGGGTTGTATCTGGCTAAATGTGGGCATCTACAGCTGACCAATTCCTTTACAATCAATGAAAAGCTGGACAATGGAGTTAACAGGGTAGATAATTTCTTCCGAAGCAGATGCTTGTATCTGATCACAGAAAGGGGTCTGATCTCCCCATATTAGATTTTCAGTGACTACAACTGGAACCCAGATGGCAAGCTAAGATATTTGTACCTACACTGCAGATGCCTGGAAATTAGGTGAAGTAAATTCCATCCCAAGAAACCATCCTGCAGCAGTAACTTAATTCAAATTGCGTACATGCTCTGTATTCTACTAACTTCAAAAAACTTCCTATTTTACAAAAACATTAAATTCTGAGAAAGAAATTAGCATTCACTGGAAGCCGTAACATGGAAGTTAATATCTGAATAAATGTGTAGCCATCAGTGGGAAGATATAGCACTAGTGTGAAAAAACAGGAGTGAAAATACAAAAATCCAGTCCTGCAGATCTTCACTGGTGATTCAGCAAAGTATTTCAGCAGATGTTTCACTGTTTTCCTACCCTGGGAGCATGGGCACTAATCCCACACCTCACCAGGCACTGGAGTTACACAACTGTTTGAAACAAGACCGTATCTTCAGGGCTTACTCACCACTGAAGCCCCACTTGTGCGAGGGCTCCTACAGTCGCTGACCCCCTGCAGCTGTGTGAATTGTCTGTGGCTATCACTACTTTGCAGAAGCTGATACCAGTGTGCTTCACTGACTACAGGCCTGAGCCAACAAGGTTTTGCAGTATTGTACCCTACAAAATCAGTGGTGATTTCAGAAAAAAAAAAAGCCCCAAAGAAAAGCCCTCAAAAAAAAAAAAAAAAAGGAAAAAAAGAAAAAGGTTTAGATAGATTTTAGGAATCTGTGTCCATAACTACAATCCGAAAGAAACCAGGACAGTGAGACAGGTCTAAATTTCTTTAGATCTTCTTTTTGCCACCTAAGTTGAGTTCAAATGTTCAACCCATCCACTGATGGGTGCACAACTTTAGCTAGGTCAAAAGAAAAACAGACAAGATGTACAAAAGTAATGTTCGACTGATCTCTCCGTGAGGAGAGCTGGTCTCTGATATCTTCCTGAACTTCCTTAATATCACAAATTGTTTCTTGATATAGATATTGTGGGGTTTTTTTCCTGGTCCCCCAAATCTTGAGGATAGGGAAGGGAGCAGTCTAGAGACTGTTATGCAGGGTACTGGAGCATAGATGCTTCAGTTCTTCCAGACAGAAGGGAGAATTTAGATGTACAACTTCCTCAACCACCAGGAATCAACAGACTTTTGTAAGAGGTGGATGTCACCAGTTCCTCTTCATAGTATAGCTATGTTTAAAACAAAGAGTAATTCTTGGTTTGTTCTTTATCAGATCATACCCCCTCAAAAATATATTGGGAAATGTTTTTTAGGTAGACAAGACCTCAACCTCTAGTAACAAGTTGTGTAGATGCGTTTCAAAGAGGAAAAGAAGTTCAGACCTACCTTCTCTCAGATTTTCTAATGGGTTAGCAGCAGCTTGCCAGAATGCTTAGAGTGTTCTTTTTCTTGACCTCTCTGAATGGTATGGAAAGCCTACACAACCCTCTATTTTTCTGTTTTTCTTTTCATTATTTACTTATCCCAGCCAGGGAAAGCAGAGGGCACATAAGTAACATTTACTGATTTTTACTGAGTGTAGTCCATGAGTCAAATCAAGCAGATGGCAGTACGGACAAAAAGAAGGCAGAAAAGGAAGAAGCTTTGCTCTGATAAGCTCTGAGTAGAAATGCCTCACTAATAATCAACAAAACTTAGACTGGCTTAGCATAGTATGGGGGGAAAAAGGGTTGAAAGTAAAGAGTAATCCTGAAAGCATTAGTATGTCTATTGTAAACAAGTGAGTAGTCTTTCCAAGATACAGTTTAGACTTGTGTAAAAAGATGAAAATAAGCATCTCCATTGGGGGGTAACTTGCTACATAAAAGGACACTTAAAGCTTGTAGAAGAAGTCCGATATGGAATTTGTATAAGATAAACTATATAAGTAACTGTACTTACTGTGTAAAGCTCATTAAGAACTTTCATTAAGTCTTCATGAAGCTGAAATGCAATCTCTTTGCTCTGTAATTAAAAAGAAATAATTAGAAAACAGGCACGCAAAAACTGCAACATACATTTGTTCCTTGATATTTGTACTCATTGCTCACCCTAGATAGTGAATGTTGCTTGCAAAGACACCGTTCTGACAGACTTACAGTGCACTAAAAATAATGATTCAGGGATGCAGAGGTAGACAGATAACATCTGGACAAAAGACTTCTAAAAGGAAACCCAGAAGTAATTTGAGAGAGTGTCCCATGAAGCATCAGGAAATTAGGTGCCAACAGAAAGGGTGAAGTTCAGGATTAATGTTTTTAATGGAACAAACTGCGTAGTGTTTTATCACTGCTATGATATATACAAAAACTAAACCACATGGAATGTGATATTCTAGAGGGACATCCCGCCCAATTTTACATCTAGAATAGTCTTTGTTTCTCAGCACATGCAACTATCTAAATATTTATGCAAGAAATAATTGTGGCTCCTTTTTGAAACAGATACTCAACTGCATAATATTCCACAGAGTGGGCTGCTGAAACAGCTTTGTTTAGCTTTTCTGGACTGTGTCTTTACTTTCATTCTGACCCAGAAAAAAAAGGAATGCCTAGCAGTAGTTATTAACAAAAGCAAGTATGTCAAAATAAGAGTATTTAATCAGACTCTCATTCAAATATACTCCTTAGCTGTCCATAGGAGTTCAATCAGATGAAAATTGTGGCAACTGTGCAAGAGTTGAAGGCATTTGTACCATAGCCTTTGGAAAACAGCTATAGAATAGAGCTACAGGACTTGGCAAACAGCTTGGCTACATTTCTTCTGCAATGCTCAGCATTGTAACATCCATGCTGGAAATGTCAGCTTTTTTTTCTGTGAGTAAGTTTCTGTGAATAAGCCTGGCTTCTAAAAACTCCAACTTCATGATAGATAATGGCCTTAGCTATGAGGAGTACTTTGTAGTTGCATAGAAGCCAAAGGAAAATCCTCAGGGACAACTCATCTCCAAAGCTGCTAACATATACTTGGCCATCACTAAAACACCTGCAGAAATAATGGTTTCTGAATGAGAATTTCCAGTGCGACACCCATGGATGAGGAGGAACCACGCCACACATCCCACCCACTGTGTCTTCCAGGAGAATGAAACAGACACATACAGTAGCTGGAAGAGAAAATTTTTACTTTTTTCTCCTATTCCTACTGTCATACTCCTTAACTCTGGGCAGTATTTTAAGGAACCTGCCATATCACTTATCAGTATTCACTCCAACCCTTATATGCAAGATGATTTTTAACCAACAAGAAGCTAGAAATATAAATTAAGAAACACTTCAGCAAAATTCTTGTATTCCCAAGGGCATTAGCTGTAGTAGCTAAGGCACAGTGAGACAGATGCTCTAAAGCAGTTATACAGAACTACTATGAAACTTTCCTTATTGCTTGTACTTTTCGAAGTCTCGTATTTTTCATGAGGTATGCTCTACTACTGAAGTATCTAGAACATAAGGCTTACTACTTCCATTTCTTTGCAAATATCAGACTATTTTAATCTGATATTAAGGACAAAAATTCATAATGCATAACAGTGCACAGAGTGCTTGTAAAGAATTGGAAAAGGATTGCAGATTTGCAAGCTGCTGTAGGGAAACACAGTAAAAGCTTTAGCAAAAATTCTGAATTGCTTTTCATTGCTTTACCTTGGCACCCTGCCTTTAAAAGTCAGCAGCACAGCTCTGACACAGCTTACACATCTCCTCAAAGATCCAAGAAGTGGAGGCCACCTGTTTTCTCTTGGATAGCTACTTCTTTAGTGCTGAATGTGAGTGGTCTGGTTTTTAAATTACTTTAGCAGCAAGAAAGACAAAACACACAAATAAGATGGCTGACATTAAGACCGAAAGATGAAAGCAAATACATGTGGGAAAAAACTGTAGATGAACTCCAGCTTCAAGCAATTTATCCCTTTCAACTGTTGGTCACCACCATCTCAAAGCTGATGACAACTCAAGCCCTAAATACAGCAACGCCAATCCTAAAGTAGCGTGCCTTAACCTGGCAGTGCAAAAGTTTGTTTGAGAAAGTGAGACAGAAAATCCCAAACCAATTTTCTCTTTACCCTTTGCAGATTTCTTTGTGAACAAAGCACACAGCAGTTCATTGGAAGACACACCCTCCTTTTCTGCTCTTCAGGTACACCTTAATGCAAATAGACACCCAGATCAGTTGAGGATTCGGGGAATGATCACTATTTACTAGGACCCATTTCTTCTCTTTGCTCCTGTAGAGCTTTGTTCAGCACTGAAACACAAGCGGTCCAGCCCTCAGAATTTACTGGCCATCATGCATACATGATCTTTGCCAGACAACACATTGATCAATGGTAAATTTGAAAGTGAATGGAAGGGATCACAGTAGAGGAAAGAGGGAGATGTTTTTAGGAAAGGACAATAGGCTTTAAAATGGGGAGCAAAAAGAGAGGAAGGGAGGCGATCAGCAAAGAGAGTAAAAATTAAGAAGAAACAGCCTAGCAATGCCACAGGATCACAGATGAGTCATCCTTGGCACCAGTTCATCTGGGGACTCCAGCCTGCAGAGGGTGCCTGTAGTGATGGATAACATGTTAGTTGCTGCCTCTTTCTGATGAAAGGTTTTGTAGGAATTGTCCAATAAAAATCAGGAAATTTGGTTAACCTTAGCAGTATAAAAGGGATTTATTTTCAACAACCAACACATTTTACATTAGCATTTAAGATCAAGAAATACTGACTCCAGTGGCAAGCGATACAGCTTTTAGTGTGTGCATGTTAGAGCACCAGATAAGAAGTGCATTTATTTTCAGTGGTTAATGGCTCTCCTATTTCTCTTTTAGGCTACCTGTTCCCTGCAGTAGTTCAGCATGTTTGAACGGTGTGCCCCTTTAGGAGCCTATCCTCAGGGTAGCCAAACAATGGAATGCAAGATGCAGCACACATTTTCCTGGAGCTGAGTTGATAGCTCTAATCAGGCCATTAGAACCTGACAGTCACTGAGGTGCTTCTATATTCACTATGACTTAGAGAAATATATTAGCATCTATTAACCAAAAGAACAAAGAATATAATACAAATGTTTGAGCACATGCAAACTCTTGCTAAAAATATTATGTATGTTACTAATCTGGTTCAAAGCATTAAGAGACAGTAGCGTATTTTTTTGACCTGATAGTAGGATAGATAAAACAGACAAGTCAGTGTACCTGAACAACCCTTTCAGTATGTGCTCAACTGTCAACACATCAGTGGTCCTACTGATGTTATCAAGATTTGTATTTATGGATTAATGTCTGAGAAACTTAAAATTTTATTCCACATTAATAACCCTTCACTGAAGTCTGTAAGAATTTTTCCATCCATTTCAGTTAGAGCATAATTGGGCACCCAAACTTCACTCTTTTGGGGTTTTTTACCGAAATTTAAGAGTCAGTTCAGTTCTTCCTGGAACTCGTTAGTGTCTTGTATTTAGCACACATGATGCTACTCTCAGTTACATCATTTAGGGAAAATATTCTGTGACTATTGCTTTTAAATGAGTTTGCTGCTGGTCCCTGGGGGAAGTGATGTGCAAACCCTTCTTTTAAGGAGCTTTCATGAGCTGCAGTAACACTGACATAACCAACTCATAGTAAAATTTTGTCCCAGATTTGCCAGTCTATAGCAACAAATAGCTTTGCGATCCTTTTAAACCTTTAAATGTTTAAGAAAACGATGCAAAAAATCTTTATATATGCCACAATCTTCATAACGTCAAATAGATTTGGCAGGTAGTCATATTCCTTGTTAATAGCCAGATTATGGAACTAAAATATTTATTGTGCTTGGCTTCTCCAGCATCTTTTACTGTAAACATTGGAAGATATGTTCATCTTGGCTCATTATGGTTTCTGTCCAAAGAAAATACATGTTTATAAATTATAAATATACAAATCTGCTTAAGGATTTTGTGGGTATGTGTTTATACAGTTGATTATTAATGCTGGGGTAACCAGAATCACTGCATGAAATGTTCTGCATAATACTTTTCCCTTCTGCTTGACATTTTTCCTTATTACTTTATTCTTTAATTGTCCCCATGAGGCCATCTACCTCATCTGCCTGAAGAAACAGGCAAGCATGCAAGGTTTGAAGTCTGCTACTTTATGTTTGTAATTTTATGTGCAGCATGAAGGCCAGGCATGAACAGCAATCTGTACTGCTTTTATATGCAAGCAAGCAAGAAGAGCTTAAGTGCCTTTCTGGAAGTATGAGGCCTGACATATTATTATCAGATAAATGTCACAAAATCTCTGAACTAGATCCTATCTTTGTCCTGCATTTAGTACATTTAAACAGATGCTGGTTCCTGACTCCTGGAAGAAAGAATGACAAAGAGGTCCCGGGAGAATAAAAATAATGAATATCTACATGTTAAAGTGGGTTAGCCTAGACAGGAAAGCCATGTACAATCAGGTACCCGAATACGGTATATCCTGGCCCATCAGAACATGCAAGGTAGATCCAATAGGGATCATTTCACCAAAGTAATCCAAATGTTGAGACAGATGTATAGAAACACACAAAAGGAAGAACCAGAATGAGGAAGGACAGTGAAACAAGGGCAAGGTACAAAGACCAAGGGCCACAGACACCCCTCATCACTACATTTCATATAGACTAACACTGGGTACTGCACACACGTTTTACAGGACTAGAGAAAGGGGTTGCTACAGATCCATGACTTTGTGCTATATTCCACATAGGAGACATCAGCAGGGGAGGGAACAAAACAACACTCTACTGGTAAGCACGGCCAGGAAATGAGAAAATTGTTTGCTCTTTTCATTACTGCAATTCAAGCTGGAGCCAATCTTAGGATAGCATACAAACAGTATCCTGCTAGAGAATGTTGGGCTCACTTCATGGAAAAGTTTCATTTGAGAACCTACTGCCCACCAGCGAGGCGGAAAAAGCCGTTAAGGGCTACCATTGAGAAGCAGAATGGGTAGC